CAATGTAGTTACAAACTTTTTATTATAAATGAACCAAAGGCGACAGTCTACTTCTTAACTGGTCTTAGCATTAGCTCGTTAGGCTAACTCGCTGGCGCTAGGCTAGTTATTTTTGCTGAAATATACTTTCATTTCATTTTTTTTCAGTGGACTAAATTTCTACTTTGTTAAAATGTTTGATTTGACACCTGGATTGTGGATGAACTTATTGCCAAAAATAACATTTCCTTTCCATCTTGAATTTTGGACTGGCTCACGTGTCTTATTAAAAGAGTAACGTGCAGCTAGCTGCTGCGCTAACACGCCCAAATATGGTGTTACCCTCTTTTGAGAACTCGACAAATATTCACAGTAGTTTGTATTTCAGCTCAACTTTAAAGAGCTAGGTGAATATTTTTGTGCTGGCTCTGAGGCCGGCGACCTCTGACCCCTGAGGTTGTTTGTGGTGTATTATTGATGCTGAACATGTAACTGAGAGTGAGAGTGAGAGTGAGAGTCTACTGTACTCTACTCAGCAGATGTACAGTCATCCAGAGAGAGAGAGATGAAACCTCATCTGCTGAAAATCAATCTTTCACACATTCCTCTCATCTGCACTCGCTCCCTCTCTTTATTGATTCTTCACACACTTGTAGGCTAATCCAGCTCTCACACACACACACACACACACACACACACACACAGACCACATCTGCCTTAGTCTTTGAAGTGTGTGTGTGTCTTTGAAGTGGGTTTCTCTGTTTCCAGTGTCTGACAGTAGTTAGCTCAGAGGCTAAAACACACACACACACACACGTACGTACGTATGTTTTCCCATACATACAGAAGAGGTTTTGTCAACACACACTTTAAGATGTTATTACACTCTGAAAGGACGAACACACACACACACACACACACACGGGGTTCTGGAGTGTGGGAACGACTCAGCTGTTTTAATGCAGAACACACAGAGGTTCAGGTTTTACAAGGCCGTCAGAGGGAGAGACTCAGTGGGTCTACATACCAGAGAGAGGGCGAACAGGGTGGAGACAAACACAGACCAAAGAGAAGATGGAGGTTTTGTGTTATAAAGAAAATGTTGTGAAGTTTGGATGAGGAGGGAGGAAATGAAAGAATGGACGAGAGACAAAAAGAGTTTAACACAATAAAGTCTCTGTTCAGTCTCTCACTCTACGGAGGCTCAGAGCCGCCATGATCTCTGTATTACTATAAATGACTATATACGAAAATAAAATAGAATACTAAAAAATACTAAGATGAAAAATAGTAGAAATAAAATAAATACTAATAGAAAATAAATACTAGAAATAAAAGAATTACTATTACAAAAAAATAAAATAATAGAAATGAACACTTTATTTCACAGGTCCCATATTGTCCAGCTAATTTCCTGGAAATTTTCCTCATAATTAAGACGACGCAGTTTAGTACAAATTACAAAGAAAATTGAGAAAGTTTTAGTCTCGCTCGTTATTTTCAAGTTTTTAAGAAAAAACTAGGATTTTATGCAGGAAAATGAAAAGTTGTGGCCACATCTGAGTTTCCTATAAAAGATGTGGAACAGCATCACCTTTATCCTTTAACTCATGATAACTAGAGAAAAAATAATATAATTAAAAATGGCCACTCTCGGCCTCTAACGTCCTGTTATTCAAACATGAACATTTCTAAAATCTGTTTGTTTTTGTTTGTAGTTTGGTGTCTGTCATTTCAGATTCGTCAAATTTAATCTCTTAACTAAATGAATCTGGACGTTTGAGATGAACTGTGAGAAAAAAACAGACGAGTGGAAAAGATGAAAAGGATGAAAATTGGAAGCAGGAAGAGGGAGATGTTGAATTCAGATTTATGACAATGAGGAGGAAAAAAGAGGAAGGAATTAGGACCAGACCTTAAGGAAAGAGAAGAAGGATGGAGGACGTGTTGCAACAGAAAGGAATGAGGATGAAGAGAGGAGGAAGGAGGGAATTGGAAACAGCAAAGGAGAGAAGGAAGGAAGGAGAGGAAGGAAGGAGTGATGAGAGGAGTCCTGGGTATTATATAATTCATCAGTGGTAGTAACTGATATGATGACACACAGAGAGAGAGAGAGATTTACAGGTTAACAGGGCCAGAGGTCAGAGGTCATCAGGGCCGTGATTATCCGAATCGAGGGGAGTGGGGTGGATAGGAGCCAGGGGGCGGGGTCAGAGCAGGTCAGGTGATTGACAGCTGGTGTAGAAGAGGCTGTTGAAAGGTGCGTTTGAGGCTAAAACACTGATTGATTTTTGATTTTTCTTAATTTAATTGTTTTTAGTTCACAGCAAAACAAACAAACAAACAAACAAACAACAAAACTAAAAATAAATCTCAACTTGATGACACAGTATTTCTTTGCTCAGAGGGGAGCGCTCCTTTTTAACTCCTTTGCAGCCAGTAACGTTGAAACAATCAGTGAACGCCAGGAAAGTAATGAATCATTTAATCCGGGGATTATCAGCCTGCGGTCTGACAGTGAGATGATTATCAGGAAAACAAATGTTGTTCTCTGATGTTCCTCTCGTCGTCGTGAAACGGATTGACTTGGAATTTGCTTCGGACGTTCAGGATACGTTTGAATTCCTTGCTGTGTTTTATATTCGGTGATCAGAGGTTTTATTGGTCTGCACATGCGAATGAAACGCAGACTCCTGACGAGGTTTCCAGGTACTTCTCCTCCAGTGAGAATCTGACTGTAGGATCAGAATGTGTTATAAACCTTCAGCTGGTTCTAATACACAGTTTTGTTTCTGTACATTGAAATATTAAAAACACCTGTCAGTATGAAACAATCCCGTACGACACCATCACCAACACCTCCCGACTCGCTGGCTGCAGGGCTGTTGCATTAGATTACATTCCACTCTACAGGTGTTTCTATTTTTCTGGACACTACGTTTATATTGCAGCTTCCGTCATGTGAAGATGAAGTGAAGAGAAAGATCAGCTCCAGGGAGAAAGGAGGCGGTGGGGGGTGAACAGGTGAGAGAGATGGGAGGTGTTGTATGTTTTGTCTCTCCGGGCTGTGGGTGAAGGTTTGACCTCCCAATTATCCCTCCTCCTCCTCCCCCTCCCTCCCCCGCTCCTCCTCACGCTGCCTGTAGGAGTTTCAGTGTGACGACCTTTAGGTCAATCAGCTGTGAGAAAGCTGCGACCTCCCTCAACCCCCTGTGGGGCTTCTGTGTGTGTGTGTTTATGAAAATGTGTGTGTGTGTGTGTGTGTGTTAATGCTTCCTGTTGATCAGGTCAAGCTACTTTTGAGCCGTGCTCACAGCGTGGCTTCAGGGACGGTGATGAAAATTTGGTTCAGACAAAGGTTGACCCCTGACCTTTCCTGAAGCGCCACCAAATACCTGGTTTTAATGAATTTTTTTTTTTTTTTACCTGTATTTCTATATTTAATACTCTGAAGACTCTAACGACTCTTTATTGGCTGATAAATCAAAAATAATTTCAGTTCAGAAACTCCAGAGTGAAGTTTGTGACAGTTTGTCCACCTGAATAAACACAGGTCGATATATGTTGTAAGGTATCAGCCTGAAGAATCAGTGTGTGTTGGGCTGTAGTCTTGTCTCCGCTCTGCTTCCCTGTGACTGCTGTCTTGTTAACAGCTGCTGCTGTTTGAGTTTCTCAATTAGTTATTGATCCGAGCTGATTGATCAGTGCTGATAGTGAAGATCTGTGACGGTCAGGCTGCTGTGGTGATGTGTGCAGCAGCTGGGATGGAGTTTGATGGGAGGAGATGATTCAGTGCAGCAGCTGTGTGTGTGTGTGTGTGTGTGTGTGTGTGTGTGTGTGTGTGTGTGTGTGTGTGTGTGTGTGTGTGTGTGATAACTGAAGATCAGCAGGGAGCCGGTAATGGGGGAAAAGGTGGAATGTAAAAAGAGACAGTTTAGTGCTGCTGACACCTTGTTCAGCACTTTACTGTAAATATAAACACACTGTGTTTTATTGTGTTGGTGAAGCTAACAGGAAGTACAGAGCCGCAGCCAGGAAACAATTAGTTGAGCTTAGCTTAGCATAAAGACGAGTACACATGTTGTACCTAATTAGTTCTTTCTGAAACATAATAAAACCTTGACTGTGTGACTTGTGAGAGAAAATAACAGTTAGATGTGCTGATAACAGAAACAGTTCTTCCTCCTCTGAGGGTTTCTGGGTAATGACGTGACAGAAAAAATGGAAACAATTTGGTAAAATCAGAACGAAGGTTTTAAAACTAAAGCTCCTGGAAGATAAAGTGAAGTTAGTCCTCTGACGTATCCAGAGAGTGATGGCCGCCTTTCACGTGGTTTGTGCGCATGTACGATGTCGTCCCGTCGTCCTGGGTAACGGATCTTGGGCTTCAGGTTGTTGGTCATTAAATCTCTCAGGCTGCTCCATCATGATCGTCAGCCACAGACTACAGTAAAAACACCACGTTTGTTGGCTGTATGACAGTGCTGTGAAATCACTAGCCTACTTGACCAATCAGTGACGCTGAGTTGTGCAAGCCCCAACTTTTAGAAAATACTGTCTTCACACAAGAGACGTTTTCTGGGGGGAAACCACAGGATCTCCCTGGAACTTCATTTCGACCCTTGGTCCCTTGATGTGGAGGCAGGTGGAGGAACTGCTCCTGCAGCTGAATGTCACTGTACAATGTATCCAGTTGTAGGCAGCCACTGACCAATGAACGACGTCTGTCCCTTCTAGAACTGCACACGTCACAAAATTAGATACATTTTCCACTTAACTTTAATCAGAATCTGCTGCTGTCTGTACACACACACACACACACACACACACACCTCTCCACGCGGCTCCACCCCTGCCTCCCTCCCTCTCTCTCTCTCCCCCTCTGCATTCCTCTCTCCCTCTCTCACGAGGCAGAGAGAGGCATGTCCCTGCGTGTTCCTGCTGGAGGTCGAGCGACATAGAGTCAGAGCAGAGAGAGAGAGAGAGTCAGTCAGAGCTCTTCAGTGAAGCAGAAGCACGCGCTCAACGCGGACTGAATTCACCGTAGCTGATCGATTAATACTTCTCATCGATTCACCGATTGACCGGATGGATTGCTGACGTCACGGATATTGCTTTGATGGATCTGTGGATTTAATCGCTCTTCGTTTGATCTGTAGTTGTTTTATTCTCACGTCTCTCGGGTTTCACCTACCGGGGGGCAGCCATGGGTTTCTACGGCACCTTGAAGCTCATCTTCTATAAAGTGAGTATTGATTATAGAGAGGGAGTTGATCGATCGGCTGACGTCAGCAGCCGTGGTTTAATATCTGTCCTTTTCATTAGAGTGAGGACAGTCGTGCGGGATTTCAAGGTTGTCAGGCTGAACGCCGGGATGACAAGGCGTTTCTCTCTGACAGCGGAATGCCTCGGTAGCGTGTGCATGTGTCGGTGTGCGTGTGCGTGTGTGTGTGATCACCACTGCGGAACCGGGAGAGAGAGACTACTCATCTCATGTCCTCTCTCTCTCACTCTTTACATCTCCTATCTGTCTCTCTCTGATTTGATTATTGGTTATTGATCACTCACAGCTGTCTCTGTGAAGGTGTCTGTACTTTGAGCCTCAGCAGTTAAACATAAAGCCAGTGAGCAAGACATTTGTTATCAGTGAAAAAGACTTAAAATCAGATAAAACTTGAGGATTAATTCTTCTTCTTTATAGCTTCAATTTCCTGCATTAAAACCTCAGAAATTTACATTTTTGCGAACTTAAAATGGGAATATTCCACAGCAACGTGCTTTCCTCAAGATGAAAACCTTTGAAACTGACATTTTTTGCTTCTCTGCAATGTGAAAACACAGATCAAAGAGGGTTACCACACACTACAGCTGCTGGCAACTGCATTTTTGGGGTCAAATGTGGCTTATTAAAGAGCAGAAATCTATGAGAAAGACTTAACATCAGACAAAACTCAATTATAAATGCTTGTTCTTCTTTATAGCTTGAAATTCCTGCATTTGAACCTTAGAAATTGACATTTTTGCTTCCTTAAAATAGGATTACTACACAGCAGAGAGCTGTCTACTGCTTTTTGGGTAAAACATGTTGCATTAAACAGCAGAAATCAATAAAAAAAGACTTGAAATCAGACAAAACCTCGGTACCAGATACTTTCACAGCTTCAATCCACAAGATGAAAACCATAGAAACTGACGTGCAAACACAAATAAAAGAGGATTACCACACACAGCTACTGTGAACTGCATTCTTGGGGTCAAATGTGTTTTACAGCAAAACTCTATGAGAAAGACTGATCAGACAAAACCTGCTCCTTCATGTCTGTAGCTTCAAACCATGAGAATTAAACCTCAGAGGAAGGTTTCTACACAGTAAAGCTGCTGTTGACTGTATTTTTGGGTCAAATATGAAGTCGTCTACAAACAACAGGATTAAAGAAATGTGGTTTTTGCTTCTCTACATTGTAAAAATACAGATGTAACAGGGACATTAATCAGCTGAGGTCACAGCATGTGCACCACTGATCATCAGAAACACACCATGATTCACTACAGTGATATTATAGAGACACTGTAGCTCTAAAATGTACAAAAGGTACAATAAGGTAGCTGTATATTCCCTATTGCATCTAATCCACAGGCTTATGAATACAGCTTGATATAGAAATAATGTGATTTTACTCAACTACAGATGTTGTCTCTGACACGTACCACAGCTGAACACTTCTGGTTTTAACAGTAAACACATTTTTTTTTGTTCTTCACCCCCAAGTGAAGTTTTTCCTCTTGGCTTAATGAAATCCACACAGACGCGACATCTGTTATTAAAAGCCAGTGACATTGAAAAAAAAAAGTCTGAAAATGAAAAGCAGATTATGAGTTTAGGTCGGAGTTGGCAGCTGAAATCACAGTTGTGTGCTGTGATGGCGGCAGAGGTTTGATCCCACAGAGGAAATATAACAGGGAGCGTCTGCTGGTGCTTGATTTTGTAAAGTGACAGGGATTGTGCATCGGTCCGATAACACTGTGGTTCACACAGAGATGCCAAGAGGAAGGACGACACACACATGCTGTCCTCTACATCTCCAGCCTCCAGTGTGTGTGTGTGTGTGTGTGTGTGTGTGTGTGTGTGTGCAGCCCGTTAGCGTGTGCTGCTCTATTTTAGACCAGTGCTGCACCGGCGACATTCCTCCGATTTTCTGCATTCCTGCGTTCATTCACTGCGAGAGACTCGCAGAGGGGAGAGATAGAAGGCTGATTCAGACCTCTGGGTCGTTGTGTTTGTGTGTTTTAACAGCGTAGGTGTTTTCAGTGTCTCTGTAGTTACACACTAGGCTGCAGTTTATCTGCGTCTCTCCATTAATGTGGACTCTGCAACAACTGCTTTTTTTTCCTGCTTCCCTTTTTGACCACAGGAATGTTTCAGAAAGCCACAAGCATGTTGCAGGATCACAGGAACTCCTCTTGCTTTTCCTCCACAGGCCACATTAACACAATTTGATGTGTCTCATGTTCAGATAATATCGAGAAGCTGGAGTGAAACCGGCACTTCCAGGCGCAGGAAGTAAAAAAGTCCCATTCAAAGTCCTGTTGACTTTTGTAACTAAAAGTCGCGGCTGGGAACAAACGAGGAGCTCGCTTCATATGTTTAAAACAACAATCTAATTTCATTCTTTATTCAATATTTATGTTGTTTAGCCTTTAACAAACTCAATTTCCCATAAGCCCCATACATTCGACGGCTAAACATCTCAGCTGGACAGAGGAGTGAGCGCTGTAACAGCTTGTAGAGATTCACACCAGGAAGTTGACTTCAGAAGAGAGGAGAGATGGACGAAACCATGTTATGATGAAGTTTTCAAACTGCTCACAAAGTGAAAGTTAAACTGAACTTAACTAAGGTTTAGATTTTATATGGCAGCAGCTGCAGTGGAGCTGATTGGAATAGAAAAGAATAAGGAAAATAAACACCATGAAAACATTTCATTTTTAATGAAAGTATAATGAAAGAAATCCTGAGTGACAGATTGGACTGAGTTACTGAAGCTAGAGGAACACACTGTGTAAACATCTCATTTATTTCACATAAGAAATCTGACAACAACGAGTGAACAAGCAGTGACACAAACACAAAGGTGACTCTCGTGGATTAACTACAAGTTGCGCAAATAAATTCATGCACACGCGTGATGCGTGAAGCTCCTTGCATGACTGAATGCATGTTGGACTCTCTCACCGTTCCTCTCTCCGTCTTTGTCTCTCGCCCGTCAGATGAAGAGGAAGTTGGATCATGGTCCAGACGGCCGGCCGTTCCCCTCAGGGAAGAAGCACTGCAAAGGCAACGGGTACCTCAGGTGACACGCACACTTCACTCACAGAGCACACAAACAGATTAACTGTTAAAAACAGTCACTTCGCAGGGTGGATACGCTAACTGGCGCTAATGCTAACATCTGTCGTTTTCTCTCCAGTCCTTCCAGTCTGGTTCCGGCCACGCCCACCACATTCGGTGACCTGCGGCTGGCCAATGGGCATTCGGCTCAGAGGCGGCGGGTCACCTCGGGTCCGCCCCCTTCTGGCCTGCAGGACTGGCTTCACATGTTCCAGGTCAGCACACACACACACACAGTTTGTATCTGCTCTAATGTTAGCTGCAAATGTTAGCATTCCTGGCTAACTAGCTTACTAACAGCAGTAGTGAAATATTTGTAGAGATACAGGTTCTGTTTCACATTCAGGACTAGAACATTCATTACATGGAGCCAATATGCTGATATATCAAATGATCTATTATATAATATGTATATTACCTGTCAATTAGCTGTTAATTGTCCCAAATTACATATTTGTAATAAGAGACACTGGTTGCATTTAGTGAGCCCAAATCATCTACTCCCAGTTAACACGCCTTGCCAAGACAACAGTTAATACACAGGCTGTCCTGTCCTGCAGCGCTATAAAATGCACCCGCATCTCTTCATGTTCTGCATTTTGGTGTAATGTGTGTGAGTATCTTCCGCTCGCTGCACATAAACACAGAGCGGCAGAAGAATAGTGCCTGCAGGCAGTTCTTATGTAACTAATAAAAAAAACATACAAATACAGACACACACACACATGCACACACTTTCAAATGAAAAACATGAGTCTCTCGTTTCTGGCTCGGGGAGAAAGTTAAAACGGTTTCAGAGAGGCGGAAACACTTTGAAACACATGAACACACACATGAATAGCACTACATGCTGCCAAACACAAATTGCACACAAACACATATACGCAGAAGGACACTGAAAAGTAAACGGAAAAAGAAACGCTTAAAAGTAAATGTGAAAAGAAACATTTGAAATCAAACAAAAACAGTAACACCTGCAATTAGACAGAAAAAGAAACTTAAAAAGTAAATGGAAAAAGAAACATGGAAAAGTAAACGGAAAAAAGAAATGCTGAGATGTAAATGAGAAAAGGAACAAAAGTAAACGCATAAATAAACACTTAATAGTAAAGGGAAAAAAGAAACACTTGACAGCAAACAAAAACAGTAACAACTACAGTTAGACAGAAAGAAACAGAAAAGTAAACGGAAAAGAAAAGCTTAAAAGTAAATAAAATTGAAATCTAACTATATAAACTAAATATCCTGTACGTAGACACACAGATCTTTTCCTCTGTATCCCTGTTCACCATTGCTTTTTTTATCCCCCCCCCCCCGACAGACGTGGAGCGGTCCTGAGAGGCTATTGGCTCTGGACGAGTTGATTGACAGGTGTGAGACCAATCAGGTGAAGCACATGATGCAGGTCATCGAGCCCCAGTTCCAGAGAGACTTCATCTCCCTGCTGCCCAAAGAGGTACGAACACTCGCCCACAAAACAACAGTGCGTGGTCTATGACGGACGCATTTACAGATCCAGGGTGACATCATAAACAACACGTGGACTGTGTGTGTGTGTGTGTGTGTGTGTGTGTGTGTGTGTGTGTGTGTGTTTGCAGCTGGCTCTGTACGTGCTGACCTTCCTGGCTCCCAGAGACCTGCTGCAGGCCGCTCAGACCTGCAGGTACTGGAGGATCCTGGCTGAAGACAACCTGCTGTGGAGGGAGAAGTGCCGTGAGGAAGGTAAACACTCAGCAAACACTCAGCAAACACTCCAGCCTGTGCTGCTTGCACTTGTGTGTCTTTTGCTGCTGGGGATTCTTGTTTTCTGCTCTTTCTGTCTTTTTTTATTTTCGTTTCAGCTTTGATTTTTTTGATTTTTTATTATGGTTAAAATTATTAGACGCCAAAATAATGGCCCTTAACTGTGCGGTGCTACTTCCCTCCTGTTCTTCAGCGCCAAGGTCACGTCCTTGATATTGTTTCTGGAGGATTTAGTGACTTGAGGGAGAAGTTGTTTACTCTCTTTAGTTTGAATAATGATGTTAAATTATAAAGTGATGAAGGGATCTGGTGTATCTGTTGAAGGTTAACAGTGTGTGCAGCATCTGGGGAAATTTTTAAAGGGAAAAAAGAAATTTGAATCTATTAAATAATGAGTTTGGTTAGTGGCAAGCCAAACATTTCCTTGGATGGGTGGGGCTCTGCCGGGGGAATTGAGACTCAAGATGATTAATTCATGAACTCTTGCTTGTTCTAAAGCAACAAAAAGGAGGAAATAAAGTTTAAGAAATGGTTTGGGGACTATTTTCAGCAGCGGATTAATCCACATTTGGCGCTCCAGTGAGTGTTTGTTGCAGCAGGACGGTGCAGGTGGGATTTTGAGTTTGGATAAACTACAGTGTGTGTGTTGATGATAACGAAGGATCGTGTCACCCGGTGCAACAGAGAGACTCACTGATGTGTTTTCATGGTGTTGGGAGACAGTGGAGCTCTGTGGTTCAGAGGAAGGAGATATATCAGACTTGGTAGTGGATCAATTTATTGTTGGTTTTGGTCTTTATGTGGAATTTCTCATAAAATATTTGGTTTATATCCAGACTTCTCTTTGAACTGTGGCAGAGCTGTGAACTGCGTTTTCTTCTCTGTTGGTGTTTAGCTTCGCCACATGTTGATGAAACTTCTCCTGAAACCTTGAACGTGAGGTAGGAACGGTTGTATTTTGTGTTGCAGCTGTAAGAGGTGAACGTGTGCTACCTGAGCAGGTGTGTCTGCCGCTGTTTTTACAGGTGGAAATATGGAAACCAGGATACAAATAGAGACAGGAGCTCACTGGATGTATAGTGCTTTCTAACCTGAGTGTAACATGCAAATACAGCTACACACAGCCAGACACTCCTCCTTCATTCAGCGCAATGCAGAGGCTGTGTGTGTGTGTGTGTGTGTGTGTGTGTGTGTGTGTGTGTGTGTTTCTCTCTGGGCTTTCTGCCAATCAGCCGAGATTCACTGCCAGCACTCAGCAGTCATACCAATGAGGCTACCTCACGTTAGCGCCACACCACAGCCATACTAATGAAGCCAGCGTTAACGGCACTTTACCAGCTTCATAAATAAGGCTAATTTATATTTGCACTACACTCCTGTTCTCCCGGTGGGAACGGCGCCGGCATCAGCTCGGACTCTGTGAGAATGTAAATGCCGCCAACCTGCACCAGCGCCGCGTCGGTTACTTTCTAATGCAGCTAGCTCTGACGTTAGCTTAAAGTGGCGTCAGTGGAGTCACAGTGGACGGTGTTCCACCACACCACAGGCGCAGCAGTAGAAGTCGGGTGTGGTGGCTTTACATCATGTTGATAACAGTAAACCTGGGTGGTTCAGTCGTATCAGCTTCGGACACACCCACTGCTTTTATCTAACACCAACTTTAAGCTAAAAGTTGTGGCTTAAATGGAAGTGAATTCTCATTTACAGCTCCTCCAGTGTAAAGGTCTCTGTCCATGTGTAGTGTGATTATAGATCAGCTCTAGCTTCTATATTAATACTGTGAAAGTGTCAGCAGAGAGGCTCAGAGCCTCCTCTCTTCTGATTGGCTCACTGACCTGTTGTTACTCCAGAGAGAAGCCTGAGAGAGGAGATGTGAAACTACACTGAGATGGTTTTCGGTTCTTAAAACCACAAATAAATCTTCTTATGGATCAAACGATTGATTATTAGCAACAGTTTGATTTAAGTCCTCGATCAGCAGCTTATAAACATGTAATAATTAGTTTAAAACAAACTATAATGTAGTTGTAAGCAGATTTGTTAACAACTATAACTAACGTCCATAAGTGCAGGCTGCTGTATCAACAGGTACTGAATGATAATATGATAAAATGTCTCTGAATCGTTGATAAATACACTTTAATATCTGTTTACAGCTGCGTTGTCGTGTGTTATAAACCCTTTATTAAATGTTTATAACCTGGTTCAGTGTTTTATCCAAATTGTTGCCAATTCATTCTCTGTTGATTGATGAACGCAGCTCTGTCTGTCGTTCTGTCTCCAGGTATCTCAGAGTGTGCGTCTCACCATCGCAGGAAGTGTGCGAGGCCGAGCGTGGCGGTCAGTCCGTGGAAATCGGCCTACATTCGACAACACCGCATCGAGAACAACTGGAGGAACGGGGACACACGGGAGCCCATGGTACACACACACACACACACACAGACTGAGCAGCGTGTGTTTGATATGTAAACGTTGACTTAATGTCATTAAACCGTCTCGTCTGTAGGTGTTGAAAGGTCACGACGATCACGTGATCACCTGCCTGCAGTTCAGCGGTGACCTGATCGTCAGCGGCTCCGACGACAACACACTCAAAGTCTGGTCAGCCATCACTGGCAAGGTACGACATTATATCTGTGTGTGTGTGTGTGTGTGTGTGTGTGTGTGTGTGTGTGCGCAGCAGACAGACAGACATATTGATTATGTAAATTATGATTTTCTGCTGCTTCAGCTGTGAGCAGCCGCCAGTGTGAAGTAAAAAGCAGGTTGTTTGCTCGTGTCTCTGAGGTCGTGAGGATCTTAGGGGGAAATCTTTTTGACAATCGATCAATAATTTCAGTCATTTTTAAGCCAAAATGAAAAAATATTTGCTGCTTCCAGCTTCACAAATGTGTCGTTTATGAAAGTAATCTGGATGTTTTTGTTGCTCGCACATTTTCTACGACACGTAATTTTCACTGTCCGGCATCTTAAAGAGAAAAGAGTGGACCTCGCATCACATGATGGCGTGCTGTGTGTCATGGCCTGTGTGTGTGTGTGTGTGTGTGTGTTGCACTTCAAAGTCGCTCAGCTTCATATCTGACCTTAATTAGAATATTATCATACAATAGAAGATGAAGTAGGTCAGCGTGATCTAACAGGAAACTACCAGGCTTAAATGTCTGAATAGAGAATAGAAGAGGGCAGAATAGAAATGGAGGCAGGCGAACCAGTTGTGTTAGTCAGGGTGTGTCGATTTAAACACACACACACACACACACACACACAGAGCCTGGAGCAGCTCTGTTTGAATCCACAACCTGTGTGTAGAAGGTGAAGAGACAGTTCTCAGTGTGTAAAGACTCTCTCTCTTTACTTATATGTGTTGCAGTAGTCGCACGCCCAGCACACACACACACACACACACGCACAGACACACACACACACACATACACACACAGTAATATGATATTTTGAGACGGCTGAATTCTGGAGGCGATGTGGTAAAAAAAAATGTCTGAACACTTTTGTGTTTTCTGGGTTTGTCTTTTAATTATTACGTCCCGTCATCGTGGTTTGTGTGTGTGTGAGTGTTACGTGTGTGTGTGTGTGTGACATGTTGTCGTCACGCTTGTGAACACGTCAACTCAAGAACAAGACACAGTGGAAACTTCATACTTGCGCCACAGCTTCTCCATGTGAAGTCGTTTTTCTGATCAGACTTTGCTGCATAAATTTGCATATTACTGAGGCGGAGGAGAGTTTCTTCTTCTGTTTCTCTGCTCGATGACGAGCTACGGACACGGCGAGCACGCGTGTTCTTCTGTCACGGAGATCATGGTGCCCGTTGTTTCACGCTGCTGAGAGATCAGATGCGATTGCTCTCTCTTGTCACATGACACCTGGACGAATGTCTGTTTAAAACACTCGTGTCTGCAGCCGAACCCTCCGTCAAAGGACGACTGGACGTTTTTTTCCCCGTTCTTTAAACAATATCTTTAATGCATCGATCGTACGGTTCATACGGGTTATTTAGGAATCAGTACAGTACAATCACACTACATTACCCATGAGCCTTGGGAACTGTTGACGTGATCGACAGCGGTAGGAACTTAAAAACACGTCGTCATAGCTTCTGAATTCTGTCAAAACAGAATCAGAATTTAAAAGGGAAACGATTTAAGCTGCAGGTTTTGTTTTCAGCTTGACGTTAGCGGCTCATGTGACGTAATTCTGAGCTCTGTGATTGGATGTTTGTTACAGGAAGGCACCTGGGGAGTCGTAGTTCACTTCACGTACAAAAGTTATTTATTCACCTTTTGTGAAGATTCGTGCTCTGATTCTGAATCGTGTGACATTGTCTACGGGAAATATTAATGGGACTTCTCTTTCCGGAACCAGCGGCGCCATAAATAAATAGCTCCTCCCACTTAATGAGTGATCAGTATGTAGATATGTGTGCCTACAGGATGTAACCTATTACATCTGTCATCAAAGGAACCTGTTCAGTATCACGCTGCCAGCGTCGACCCGACAGCAACGTTGCACAAAGATGGAAAAAAAAAACAAAACTGATTCAGCGTCCCTGCCTCTGGTTTCGGTAAAACATTCTTTAACCGGACACACCTGCTCGCTCCTCCGTCTAGACCTGCCCGTAAGAGTGAGTGAGTGTGTGTGTGTGTGTGTGCGCTCAGGGAGAGTCTTCTTGCTCCCTGCAGAAAGAAAAACACACACACCCTCATCTATAGCCTGCAGGGATGACAAGGTGTGTGTTTCCTCCTCGTCTCTGTCCCTGTGTTAATTCAAGGCAGCACTACATACAGCTACTACACACACACACACACACACACACACAGTCACGCAGTAGCAGTGAGAGTTAATTAATGGCGGTAGCTGCTGCAGTGTCTTCCAGGACAACAGTTGCCAAGGCAAAGTTTTTCCTCCGTTGCCGCGGCAACCCCCCACCACAACACCTTCAAGGTGAAACTGCATTCTCTCGTTCTGTGTGTGTCCTTCAAGGGCAGCTGTGAAAGTGGAACAAATATTGACACACACATACTTTTCTACTTTTACACACACACACACACACGCCTACAGACACACACACACACGCCTACAGACACACACACACGTGGAACAGTCTTTCCCAGAAGACGACGGTGGATTTCTGAGAACCACGTGGATGTTTATGACGTTTGAACTTAATTCAGATTTAATTAACAGTGGATTAGTTCAATCAGCAGCATTACTCTTTCTTACATTATGACTTGTTAATCTAATTAGTTTAATTATGTTCAGTACAAATTGATATTTTCATGTAAAATTCATGAATATGGAATCAGACACATAAACAAGTGAAATACACGACGGAGCAGTAATGAATTTGTTCGTTTTATTCTTATTAAATCTGTTTTAATTTAAACTTAATTGAATTAAAATGAAGTATAATTAGAATTAAACTATTATTCAAGGGTGTTAGGTAGAAGTTATTCACTTATATTAAATTTAAAACATGGTATGACTAGTAGCTCATGGTGGCTAATGTTAGCAAACTGCATCTCCATCAGCTGCCACGTCATTCAGACATAACTATAAACACCAGATTTACAATATTTTAGTAAGTATTAAAAGTCTAAATTACAACAGCTAATTTTTAGCTTAAGTCACGTCATGCATGTAGTAGACATGAACGCCATGACCTCATACTACAGGACATGTAGTAGACTTTACTCTCTACTTGTGCTGCCGTCACACTGTTGAACATCCACCATCACCCTGCAGTTAAAGCTGCACCGACTCATTTAGACTCAGTTTAAATGATTTCCAGTGGTTCGTCCTGCTTCAGTGACTTTAACAGCTTCTTCATCAGATTGTTGTAAAACTGCTGCTTTTAAATAAAGTTGGATGATTCACAGGATGATGATGTCACTGCCAACGTCTCCCAAACTCCACACCATCATTATTTAACTCAGACTAAATATGTGTTGTCGTTGTTCCTCTCTCTCTCTCTTTCTCGCTCGCTCGCACAGTGTCTGCGGACGTTGACGGGTCACACCGGCGGGGTGTGGTGCAGTCAGATGGCGGTCGCCACGGTGATCAGCGGCTCCACCGACCGGACGCTGCGCGTGTGGGACGCCGAGAGCGGAGAGTGCGTCCACACGCTGTACGGACACACGTCCACTGTGCGCTGCATGCATCTCCACGGCAACCGGTAACATTCTCTCTCTCTCTCTCTTTCTCACAAAAATACACACACTTCCGGAACACCTACCATTCTGCCGCATTCATCTCCATGACAACCAGAAAGACTCAGACACATAGTTTATACATTCATACCGTATACTTTCATGACGCACATGCCCACTGCCCACTCCCGTCTCCATGGTAACCGGCGTAACCTTAACCTACAGGAGTTTATTCATTGTACATACACCTATAAATACACACACACTTCACACTAACACTATAAACACACCAGAACAAAGTGCATATAATATGTTACAAATACACATCTACAAACACACACTTTACACACATACAGTAAATACACACACTCAACTACACACTAATTGCACAGCCATGCATTATAAATTCACTCTAAAAACAGAATACACAAACACACTAACACAGTAAACACAAACACACACATATTTGAAAACTCGACATACACACACGTCTACACAGAACATAGACACACACACAGACATTTACATGCTAAACACAGACACACATTTACATGGCAAATACAAACACACACAAAGCACCAGATATTATGAAACTGGGTCACCACAACATGAACACACACACACACACACACACACCTGATTCACTCTCCTGTTAAAAAAGACACACAGATTGAAGCGACGCGATTGGCTGACACTGACCCCTCCCCCTCTCTTTCTCAGGGTGGTGTCGGGCTCTCGGGACACGACGCTGCGAGTGTGGGACGTGTCAACGGGTCGCTGCGAGCACGTGCTGACGGGCCACGTGGCGGCGGTGCGCTGCGTCCAGTACGACGGCCGCCGCGTCGTGTCGGGCGGCTACGACTACATGGTGAAGGTGTGGGACCCCGAGACGGAGGCGTGTCTGCACACACTGCAGGGACACACCAACAGGGTGTACTCGCTACAGGTGAACACACACACGCCAACTCATTTAGTTTACAATAATCAATAATCTCCAAACATTTTATTTCAACAGGAGATTCGTCATTACAGATTAAACTCGTTTCTCCTGTCAAACTCACTTTATACATTTTTTAAATCGGTAAATTATATAAAACACAGATTTTAACCTTCTTCTTTCTCTTCACAGTTTGACGGCGTCTTCGTCGTGAGCGGCTCATTGGACACTTCGATCAGAGTGTGGGACGCAGAGACAGGTACAGACAGACTGTGGTTTGTCCCGTTGTTTTGTATTGTGTTTAACTGAGACGTTTTTCTAATGTTTCATCCACCACATTTATATCATATGTGTCTAATAAACTGACAACTGAGTGTATTTCTAATTAATTAAACTCAGTTAAATATTCATTCTGAATTACATTACAGTGAGAATAAAAATGAAATAATTATATATGTTAAAATAAATCTGAGCAACAGCTTTTAGGTGAAATTAGAGATTTCATTGTTTTAATTAAAGCCACTGTGCCAAATTGACTGCACCAGGTTTAAATGAAATCAAAAACACAAACTTGTTTTATCAGAAACATTTAAAAGATGTTTAAAAATCGACACTGTGGCTTTAAATCAGCCTGAATCTGTTCAAATTAACCCGTTGATTAGAAATAAAACAAATTAAACTGACTCTGCTCGTGTCCCGCCCAGGTGGGTGTGTCCACACGTTGACCGGCCACCAATCGCTGACCAGCGGCATGGAGCTACGAGACAACATCCTGGTGTCCGGGAACGCCGACTCCACGGTGCGAGTGTGGGACGTCCGGACAGGACAGTGTCTCCACACGCTGCAAGGTGAGAGAGAGAGAGACGACGACGTCCCTCTGAGATTTTTATCTGTCAGAGAAAACAATGAGAGCAGGATGAAGGTGAGAGTCACTGCTGGTGTGGACTCAAGCAGCTGCAGCCCTCTGGGAGAGAGAGAGAGAGAGTGAGAGAGAGGGGGAGGAAACAAGGGCAAACTGTAGAAAGTGAGGAAGGAAGGAATGAAGGAAACAGGAAACAAATGGAGCGAGGAGATGGAGGAAAAAAGGGGACAGTAAGTGGAAAGGATTTGACAAGTAGGGATGAAAACTATATTTATAGAGACAGAGAGGGTAGACAAGGGAACAAAGGCAGGAGGAAATACAGGTAATTCATCATAGAAAGTGAAAACAGGAGCAGGAAGAAAAAGAGGAACAACCATAAAATTAAATATGACAAGATTCTGTGAGGCTGAGCAGTTTTTACCTGGTAATGGCACCGTGAAAACTCAGAGGATACAGAGTTGTGAGGGTTCATCCTCAGGGGAACATGGTGATGGAGATCAAACTGTTGTTGTGACATTTCAATAAAAAACAAAAAATGTGAACCTCATGGTGGCGCCAGAGGAAAAGTCAGAGGTCATTTACAGTCATTTTTTGACTTTTATTTTATGACGTTTTATGCATTATGCCTAGTACGGCAAAAAACGTCATAGTATAGTATGGCTAAAAAAACGTCATAGTATAGTATGTCTAAAAAAGTCATAGTATAGTATGGCAAAAAAACGGCAAAGTATAGTATGGCTAAAAACATGAAAAAAAGTCATAGTATAGTATGTCTAAAAAAGTCATAGTATAGTATGGCAAAAAAACGGCAAAAAACGTCATAATATAGTATGTCTAAAAACGTCATAGAAAAAACGTCATAGTATATTATGGCTAAAAACATGAAAAAAAAGTCATACTATAGTCTGGCAAAAAACGTCATAGTATAGTATGGCAAAAAAACGGCAAAGTATAGTATGGCTAAAAACATGAAAAAAAGTCATAGTATAGTATGTCTAAAAAAGTCATAGTATAGTATGGCAAAACACACGAAAAAAAAGTCATAGTATAGTATGGCTAAAAACATGAAAAAAACATCATAGTATAGTATGGCTAAAAAAGTCATAGTATAGTATGGAAAAAAACATGAAAAAAACGTCATAGTATAGTATGGCTAAAAAACGGCAAAAAATGTCATAGTATAGTATGTCTAAAAACATGAAAAAAATCGTATGGCTAAAAACGGCAAAAAACGTCATAGTATAGTATGGCAAAACACACGAAAAAAAAGTCATAGTATAGTATGGCTAAAAAACGGCAAAAAATGTCATAGTATAGTATGTCTAAAAACATGAAAAAAATCGTATGGCTAAAAACGGAAAAAAACGTCATAGTATAGTATGGCGAAACACACGAAAAAAAAGTCATAGTATAGTATGGCTAAAAACGTCATAGTATAGTATGGCAAAAAACACGAAAAAAAAGTCATAGTATAGTATGGCTAAAAAACGGCAAAAAACGTCATAGTATAGCATGTCTAAAAAATGAAAAAAACGTCATAGTATAGTATGGCTAAAAACATGAAAAAAACGGCAAAAAAAGTCATAGTATAGCATGTCTAGAAAAATGAAAAAACGTCATAGTATAGTATGGCAAAAAAAGTCATAGTATAGTATGGCAAAAAAAACGGCAAAAAATGTCATAGTATAGTATGTCTAAAAAAACGAAAAAAACGTCATAGTATAGTATGGCAAAACACACGAAAAAAAAGTCATAGTATAGTATGGCTAAAAACATTAAAAAAACATCATAGTATAGTATGGCTAAAAACGTCATAGTATAGTATGGCTAAAAACGTCATAGTATAGTATGGCTTAAAAAACGAAAAAAAAGTCATAGTATAGTATGGCAAAAAACGTCATAGTATAGTATGGCAAAACACACGAAAAAAAGTCATAGTATAGTATGGCTAAAAAAACGAAAAAAAAGTCATAGTATAGTATGGCTAAAAACATGAAAAAAACATCATAGTATGGTATGGCTAAAAAAACGAAAAAAAAGTCATAGTATAGTATGGCTAAAAAACGGCAAAAAACGTCATAGTATAGTATGGCAAAACACACGAAAAAAAAGTCATAGTATAGTATGGCTAAAAACATTAAAAAAACATCATAGTATAGTATGGCTAAAAACGTCATAGTATAGTATGGCTAAAAACGTCATAGTATAGTATGGCTTAAAAAACGAAAAAAAAGTCATAGTATAGTATGGCTAAAAGCATGAAAAAAAACATCATAGTATAGTATGTCTAAAAACGTCATAGTATAGTATGGCTAAAAAACGGCAAAAAACGGCATAGTATAGTATGACTAAAAACATGAAAAAAACGGCAAAAAACGTCATAGTATAGTATGGCAAAACACACGAAAAAAAAGTCATAGTATAGTATGGCTAAAAAACGGCAAAAAACGTCATAGTATAGCATGTCTAAAAAATGAAAAAAACGTCATAGTATAGTATGTCTAAAAACATGAAAAAAATCGTATGGCTAAAAACGGCAAAAAATGTCATAGTATAGTATGGCAAAACACACGAAAAAAAAGTCATAGTATAGTATGGCTAAAAACATGAAAAAAACATCATAGTATAGTATGGCTAAAAAACGGCAAAAAACGTCATAGTATAGTATGGCTAAAAAACGGCAAAAAACGTCATAGTATAGTATGTCTAAAAAAATGAAAAAAACGTCATAGTATAGTATGGCAAAAAACGGCAAAAAACGTCATAGTATAGTATGTCTAAAAAAATGAAAAAAACGTCATAGTATAGTATGGCTAAAAACGGCAAAAAACGTCATAGTATAGTATGTCTAAAAAAATGAAAAAAACGTCATAGTATAGTATGGCTAAAAACGGCAAAAAACGTCATAGTATAGTATGTCTAAAAAAATGAAAAAAACGTCATAGTATAGTATGGCTAAAAACGGCAAAAAACGTCATAGTATAGTATGTCTAAAAAAATGAAAAAAACGTCATAGTATAGTATGGCTAAAAACGGCAAAAAACGTCATAGTATAGTATGTCTAAAAAAATGAAAAAAACGTCATAGTATAGTATGGCTAAAAACGGCAAAAAACGTCATAGTATAGTATGTCTAAAAAAATGAAAAAAACGTCATAGTATAGTATGGCTAAAAACATTCAAAAAACGGCAAAAAAAGTCATAGTATAGTATGTCTAAAAAAATGAAAAAAACGTCATAGTATAGTATGGCTAAAAAAGTCATAGTATAGTATGGCAAAACACACGAAAAAAAAGTCATAGTATAGTATGTCTAAAAACATGAAAAAAATAGTATGGCTAAATATGGCAAAAAAAGTCATAGTATAGTATGGCAAAACACACGAAAAAAACGTCATAGTATAGTATGTCTAAAAAAATGAAAAAAACGTCATAGTATAGTATGGCTAAAAACGGCAAAAAACGTCATAGTATAGTATGTCTAAACACATGAAAAAAAAGTCATAGTATAGTATGTCTAAAAAAATGAAAAAAACGTCATAGTATAGTATGGCTAAAAAAGTCATAGTATAGTATGGCAAAACACACGAAAAAAAAGTCATAGTATAGTATGTCTAAAAACATGAAAAAAATAGTATGGCTAAATATGGCAAAAAAAGTCATAGTATAGTATGGCAAAACACACGAAAAAAAAGTCATAGTATAGTATGTCTAAAAAAATGAAAAAAACGTCATAGTATAGTATGGCTAAAAAAGTCATAGTATAGTATGGCAAAACACACGAAAAAAAAGTCATAGTATAGTATGGCTAAAAAACGTCATAGTATAGCATGTCTAAAAAAATGAAAAAAACGTCAAAGTCATAGTATGGCTAAAAAAACGGCAAAAAACGTCATAGTATAGTATGTCTAAAAAAATGAAAAAAACGTCATAGTATAGTATGGCAAAAAACGGCAAAAAACGTCATAGTATAGTATGTCTAAAAAAATGAAAAAAACGTCATAGTATAGTATGGCAAAAAACGGCAAAAAACGTCATAGTATAGTATGTCTAAAAAAATGAAAAAAACGTCATAGTATAGTATGGCAAAAAAAGTCATAGTATAGTATGGCAAAACACACGAAAAAAAAGTCATAGTATAGTATGGCTAAAAAACGTCATAGTATAGCATGTCTAAAAAAATGAAAAAAACGTCAAAGTCATAGTATGGCTAAAAAAACGGCAAAAAACGTCATAGTATAGTATGTCTAAAAAAATGAAAAAAACGTCATAGTATAGTATGGCTAAAAAAGTCATAGTATAGTATGGCAAAACACACGAAAAAAAAGTCATAGTATAGTATGTCTAAAAACATGAAAAAAATAGTATGGCTAAAAACGGCAAAAAAAGTCATAGTATAGTATGTCTAAAAAAATGAAAAAAACGTCATAGTATAGTATGGCTAAAAAAGTCATAGTATAGTATGGCAAAACACACGAAAAAAAAGTCATAGTATAGTATGTCTAAAAACATGAAAAAAATAGTATGGCTAAATATGGCAAAAAAAGTCATAGTATAGTATGGCAAAACACATGAAAAAAACGTCATAGTATAGTATGTCTAAAAAAATGAAAAAAACGTCATAGTATAGTATGGCTAAAAACGGCAAAAAACGTCATAGTATAGTATGTCTAAACACATGAAAAAAAAGTCATAGTATAGTATGTCTAAAAAAATGAAAAAAACGTCATAGTATAGTATGGCTAAAAAAGTCATAGTATAGTATGGCAAAACACACGAAAAAAAAGTCATAGTATAGTATGTCTAAAAACATGAAAAAAATAGTATGGCTAAATATGGCAAAAAAAGTCATAGTATAGTATGGCAAAACACACGAAAAAAACGTCATAGTATAGTATGTCTAAAAAAATGAAAAAAACGTCATAGTATAGTATGGCTAAAAACGGCAAAAAACGTCATAGTATAGTATGTCTAAACACATGAAAAAAAAGTCATAGTATAGTATGTCTAAAAAAATGAAAAAAACGTCATAGTATAGTATGGCTAAAAAAGTCATAGTATAGTATGGCAAAACACACGAAAAAAAAGTCATAGTATAGTATGGCTAAAAAACGTCATAGTATAGCATGTCTAAAAAAATGAAAAAAACGTCAAAGTCATAGTATGGCTAAAAAAACGGCAAAAAACGTCATAGTATAGTATGTCTAAAAAAATGAAAAAAACGTCATAGTATAGTATGGCTAAAAAAGTCATAGTATAGTATGGCAAAACACACGAAAAAAAAGTCATAGTATAGTATGTCTAAAAACATGAAAAAAAAGTCATAGTATAGTATGGCAAAACACACGAAAAAAAAGTCATAGTATATTATGGCTAAAAAAATGAAAAAAACGTCATAGTATAGTATGTCTAAAAACATGAAAAAAATAGTATGGCTAAATACGGCAAAAAACGTCATAGTATAGTATGGCTAAAAAAATGAAAAAAACATCATAGTATAGTATGGCAAAACACACGAAAAAAACGTCATAGTATAGTATGGCTAAAAAACGTCATAGTATAGCATGTCTAAAAAAATGAAAAAAAAGTCATAGTATAGTATGGCTAAAAACGTCATAGTATAGTATGGCTAAAAAAGTCATAGTATAGTATGTCTAAAAAAATGAAAAAAAAAATCATAGTATAGTATGGCTAAAAAACGGCAAAAAACGTCATAGTATAGTATGTCTTAGTTTAGTACGGCATAAAACGTAATGAAAACACCACAGTATAGTAAGATAGATTCTTTATTGTCATTGCATTAAAAACAAAGACATTAAGTTTGGCTGCAATCCTCTTGGCAGCATATATTAAAATAAAATATGCATATAAAGTATCAATATTGCACAGGTAAAGCAGCAACAGTCATTGTGCAGCTTGAGTACCATACTGTACAACAATATGTTAACAAGCTCTATCATGCAGCGGTCAAAGTGGCATTAAATATCATAAAAACCTCATAGTATACCTAGGCAAAAAACATCTCAGTATAGTAAGATAGATTCTTTATTGTCATTGCATTAAAAATTCAGTTTGACAGCATACTTTAAAATAAATAAAGACTAAAATCATCAACATATATAAACATATAAAGTGAAATAAAATTTTAAAGTCTCATAGTATAGTATGGCAAAAAAGGTTAAAAAAGTAAAAAAACTTCATAAAAATGACGTGTGTTTCAGGTCCTAACAAGCACCAGTCGGCAGTGACATGCCTGCAGTTCTGCCGAGGTCTGGTCCTGTCCAGCTCCGACGATGGGACGGTCAAACTGTGGGACCTGAGGACTGGGGCCTGGGTGAGGGACGTGGTGGCGCTGCAGAGCCGGGGATCAGGTGAGGACGCCGCACCAACATCACACCCATGAACACCGTGCATGGCAGCAGGGTCACTTCAAACAGGAGATAATGATGAAAGAAACAGATGAAAAATTATTTTAGTGTTATGAGCATCACAGTTAACTCAGATAAAATAAAACATTAACAGTAAGCGTTGACAAAGGATTCATTGGCCACAGAGGTTTTTGCTTTACCACTTATCACACTTCTTCATTTCTCAACAGGCGGCGTGGTGTGGCGAATCAGGGCGTCCGACACTCGGCTGGTGTGCGCCGCCGGAAGCAGGAACGGGACAGAGGAAACCAAACTGCTGGTGCTTGACTTCGACCTGGACGACAAGAAGAAAGAGACGGACTGAAGCGGGAGGGGGCGACGTGACGTCGTTAAGTAGAGACAAAAGAGCAGCAGACAACAGACAGGTATGAATGTTGCAACACGTCCTGATTGGCTGGCAGAGACAGGTGAACAAGATATCTGCTGCAGCCTGGGAAAAACCAACAAGGACGGGCCACTAAAAACCTGATGGGACGACCTCAGCCTGGCGGGAGCTGCGGCGACAGATGAATGTTTGACGCTGTGACGGACAAAAACATGGATGTAAACGGCTTCTACGACAAGGAACGAATGTCCGATGGACAGATTAACAGATGTCTTCAACAAACGTGGACAAATCCTAAAACATGATGATGGTGGTGGTTGAATGTAACCAAATGGGGGGGGGTGTCATTGACTTTTATTGCTGCTGAACCAATGAGGACGTCGCTGTTTAAACCAACCAATCCAAATGAACCAAATCTCAATGGCTGGAGACACATGGGCGACTTTTAGAGACGACGGAGACGAGCAACGTTGAAATGAATGTGAACAGTCGACACAACCTCATATTTAGTCAGTATTGTTTTCGTACCAGCAGCTGTTTTATCAGAGTGTTTGTTTCTCCGTTGCCTCTGAACGTAGCTCGAGTGTCTCGGCCCTGCAGTACTGTAACATGTAGAGGGAGCTGTTGCTTCAGCTGGTGAATTTTGGGGAATAAAAGTTGTTTTTTTTTCCATCCAGAAAAGAGGGAGGACTAAACGACAAACCTGTATAATCCAGCTACAGCCGGAGCCTCACATCTTCAACAGTCCAAACACCTGAAACACGACACAATAATATTCAGTTTACAGTCAGATATGAAAAAGAAAAGGAGCAAACTGTGGCAGCAAAAGAGGAAACTGAATCTTATGAGCAACTACTTTGTAAATACACTGAATTTATAGCATTAAAAATATTTAAACACACACAGTTTATGTGGTTTGAAATTTCCACAGGGTAATGCTAATTTTTTAAAAAATGTCACAGTTTATAAAGAATGTATTTTGTCCCTTCTTTGCTTCCATAGACACCTGTGAGTTTCACGCAGCAGCAGATGAGCCTGTTGGTGTGAATCCTTCTCTAAAGGGTCACTTCACATGTTTTCATCAGCTCATGAAATATTAAAGAAAAAGAAATAATTTAAAAAACAACTCTTACCAGATAATAATCTGATAAGCTGCCGTTGCCAGGCAACACCTCCAGCCAATAAGCAGAGATTTGGGCGATATTTCCCCCAGCAACAAGTGGTATTTCAGGCGGTGTCTTTCTGGGAAACTTGACCTTTGCAGGTGTGAGGCTGCGGCGCGCTGGCGCTGTCCTGATCCTGTAATCATGTAAATGACTGTAAATACAAAGAGGATGTAAATATTCAGCTTTTTATAAGACGAAAACAGAAAATATTGTCACAGTGGAATGAGAGGAGAACAGGATGGATGGATGAATATGGATCAATAAAGATGAGTTTTATAAAAACAAAGTGGTTGACTTGTTCATTCTCACAAACTCAGATTATTAACGTTGAAGTTTTAAAATGTTTTGAACGTGACTTTTCTGTTAATCGTTCCCTCTGCAGGAGCAGATATTAAAGACAGGATTTTAACACAGAGCTTTCCCTGTTTGTCTCTGAAGTTTCACCTTGATAAACTTTTAAGACTGAAATTTAAATCCTAAACACAGATATATAGAGAAGGAAAAGCTACAGTCACAAACAGCCATGCTAAACTACCACTTTGGTCAAAATGAAAATATCTCAACAGCTTTTTGATGCCATGAAATCTGTGACGTTGGCTCAGCAGATTGTTTTTCTGTGAAATTTGGCAGTTAAAAGTTTTACAGTTTATGCAGTTTATAAAGTCTGTGAATATTGATAGAGACGTTTCCCACCCAGCATTATATTTTTAATTTATTAATGTTATTTTACCTCTGCACTGAAAACCTCCTGCACTCAAAGTGCATCATTTTATCTCATGTTACATCTGTTACTTGTTCTTATGTATGTGGTTTTATTACATCAAATAATCAGTAATTATTATTTCATATTTATGTTTAATCTGCTTTTTCCCTATTATGCAGATTTGAGAAATAAATTATTGATGAAAATATCAGAATAAGCTTTAGAGTGCCGGTGATGACTGTGACTTTAAAGATTAAGGGTGACGCTTTACTTTACGAGTCTGTAATTTCCTAATAATGTCCTGGAAAGAATGAGGAAATACAGACTGTGTTCAATTAGTAAACTGCTAAGTAATTAATTTAATTGCTCTCATAACATTGGGAATCCTTTCATCAGTGCACACATGAACATGCAAAGTGTGAAATTAGTTTTCAAGCAAAGACGCATTTTAAACGTATGTGGAAAATAACATTTGTATTAGTAAATTATTAATGAATGAATATTTATTTGGGTCTCTCAAAAGGAAGCACACGGGAAATTTCAGACCCATAAAATTAATCGTCTCTGAAATGTTTTTTTTAAATCAAAGAACCTTGTAAGTTGTGCTAAAAGTCTGGTGCAGAGGAAGAAGACTACCGTCAGCCTCAACCAGACACGTTTCCTTTGAGCAAGGCAGCGAGCGAACGCTGCAGCTGCTCAGCAGAGAGCGGGAAGTGAATGTAAATCATAGTGAAGCTCCCTGGAGAAACACAAGTTAAAAAGGAAAAAAAAAAACACTCACTGCAGTCACACTGTGTGTGTATCCAGCCTGTTTGGCCCAGAAAAATGGATGGGATGGTTGTTGCTGTGGTAACGATGCCGGCGGCAACGCAACCAAGCGTCAGAGGCGATGATGATTTTCCACTCAAAAACCTGCAGACTGTCCTTCACCGGACGACCGGGGACGTTCAGGGTCTGAGAGACACAGAGAGAAGACAGGACAACTTTGTAAAGTGGGGAAATTCAGGTGATTCATTTTAGTAGATGTTGTTAAACTTCTCTTTTTGGAGCTAAATGTCTCTGTCCACTGAAGAATCCTTCACAATCATCCACAACAATAAAACTCTTACATAAAAAAAAATCTTCCTTTAACTGAGACAGAAGTGGAACTTTAAACCTTCAGCTTCCTACACGTCTCCTCTGTCTCCGTCGTCGGCGCAGAGCTTTGTGTTTCTGCACGTGGGAGTTGGTGGCGATAACATTACGCAACAAAACTGGCCTGAACATCAAGGAGAAGTAAACGGAGACGTGTAGGAGGTGATTTTATATTTCTCCGTATTTCTCTCATTGATAAAAGTAATGATAAATGTTCAGTTAAAGCGCAGTCTGTTTGTGTTACACAGATCTGGGTTGTTTTTCCTCCTGCAGCTGCATCAAAGTGGAAACAGTCTGATTTTATGGGTTTTCTATTTTTATGACCTCAAGGCGATAAAAGGAGCAAAAAGTGAGTGTAGAGTTCGATGTGTAGCCTGCATCTAACACATCTTTAAACTCTGAAAGAACACGTTCAATAAACTGAGTCAATGAAACAAACAGAAACTGGAGCTGAGCTTACTGTGAGGGAGGGGGGGGGGGGGGGGGGTACACTGAAGGAAATGGAGGGAACTGAATTAAAAAAATGTAAGGAAAAAGTAAAGAAAGGGAAAAAGTACAGGGAAAGAGGTGAAAGCAAACGGAAGAAGGGAAGGCAATGTATGGAAGGAGAGAACAGGAAGGAAAGGATGTGAGGGAAGAAATAGGAAAGGAAAGAGGGAACAAGGACTAAACACACACACACACACACTGCAGTGTACAGTGACTGCTTCACCCAACTTCCCTTGACATTACCTCTGTATGTATGTGTGTGTGTGTGTATGTGTGTGTGTGTGTGTAGTTTAACCGCAGGTAAACAGCTGAAAAACACCTCTCATCCATTACCCATGAGGCTTTGCAGCTTGTTGACAGCACAATGGTAAGTCCCCTCAGGGCCAGATGTAACACACACACACACACACACACACACACACACACACACACACACACACACACACACACACACACACACACAGGGATAGTGAAGCATGATGAACTTTAGTATTTTTATTTTTTCTGGGCAGCGGTTCACATTCATATTAGATTTTATATGAACATTTATTTTTTTAAGGTTTTTGGGTCGAATCTTGACGTTTTTGAATAAATAAACATTTATCATGATTTCTATCTAGTATTTATTTTATTCTGTTTGATGGTTAAGACTTGGCTTTGAGGTTAGAATCTGGTTTATGTTCAGGTTGGGGACTAGAAAACGTCAGTGAAGGTCCTCACAAGTATAACAATACAAGTGTGTGTGTGTAAGCTATTAAAGTAATTGCTCTGAGCAGCAAATAAAGCAGAGGAACAACAGGCTGGTTTCATCTCACTAAAAGCAAACACACACACACGCACACGCACACACACACACGCACACACGCACGCACGCACACACACACGTCTCTCTTCATACATGGAGTGGACACAATAAGAGGAACACCCAACAACACACAGAGTCTGTCCACACAGTCTTTGTCAAACACAAACATCAGTGTTCAGAGTGGAGTGTGTTGCAGAGCTGTTGCATTAGATTCTGCAAGTGTTCATATTATTTTGTCCACACACACACCCCCCCCCCCCCCCCCACCCCCGACTCTTTCTGTTCTCCCTACAAGTGTGTTTATGTCTTTCTGATGTGTGTGTGTGTGTGCTTTCAGCTTGAAGCGAGGAAGGAGATGAAACAGGTCTTCACTTTTTCACGCACAAACACAAACACACACACACACACACACACACACAGCTACAGGCTGAACATACATAATCAATCAACTAGACTAGAAAAATAAAATGTAGGTTATCAGAGGTGAATAAGAGGCCGATTCTTCGTAGCAATAACCTGCACATTAATAACTCTTACATTATTTATTCAGAGTAATAATTGACATAGAAATAAACAACTTTAAATATGCTGATATAAAATAATATCATTAGACAGCTGCTAATTGTAACTGTGATAGTTTTGTGACGCTTTTAGTAATTTATCGTCTTTTTGTGGCTTTGCATGATTTATCTGACTTTGTGTCTCTGATTTGTCATTTCTTCGTCTCTTTTGAATAATTTTGCATCTCTTTGTGGTAGTTTTGTGCGTATTTTTGGTAGTTTTGTGTGTATTTGTGGTAGTTTTGTGCATATTTGTGGTAGTTTTGTGTGTATTTCTTAAGGATATTATGTCTCTGATTTGTCATTTTAAATCTCTTGAGTCATTTTATGTCTTTTTGTCTCTATATACAGAAGTGATTTTGCATTCGTATTTGTCGTTTCATGTATTTGTGGTTATTTTGTGTCTTAGGTCACTTTTCTGATCTTTTTCGTGTCTGCATTTTGTGTCTGTTTTTTCGCTGCTTGATTGACTGAGGATCTGGTCCGGGGGTCTGTAACCATCAGGTCCACACCACTCCTCTGGTCCCCACAGAAACATGAGCGTCAGACCAGACAAGCAGCAGTGACGGTCAGTGGTGGAGCAGGCTGCTGCAGTGGAGCGTGTAGATGATTAAAATGCCTAATAAAGTCCGGAAAAAGCTCTCAGCCTAAGTAGCAGACAGTAAAACACCACATCAAAACATCAGGCTGGGGCTCATTAACGTGTGTGTGTGTGTGAGTGTGTGAGAGGGCAAATACACTGGCAAGCATCCAAGTGTTTTGGTGAATGCTTCTTTTTCTATTGGTGTAAATCTGTTTGTGTGTTTCCTTATGTTTATCTATGTGTGTGTGTGTGTGTGTGTGTGTGGGCTTGTGCTTCTATCTTTGTGAGAACCTGTGTCAGTTTTAAACCCTCGTAGTGAGGACATTACTGCACTGTGAAGACGTCTTGACCATTTGAAGGCTCGGGGGCAGAGACTGCATTATGTTGATGACGGTCCTCACAAGTATAGAAAGACAAATGTGTGTGTGTGTGTGTGTGTGTGCGCGTTTGCAGCCAAATTGAATCTTGTGAACTGAAGTGCACCGAGCAGTGGACTGTAATCCAGATTAAATGTGTTTACTGACACACACTCGCAGATCAGTGTGCGTCAGATAAGAGCAACACTCATCGACCGAAGTAGTGAAGTAGTTACCACGGCAACCGAGACCCTCCTTTCTCTATCTGACCACCTATCAATACTCCATTTAATTTTGATGATCTTTAATGAGGTGACACAGTTTAGTGACATGTGATACTGTTGAGAAACCTCCATCTATCTATTGAAAATAAATCTATCCATCTATCTATAAATCTATTTATCAATTAAAAATAAATTCATCTGTCAATTAAAATAAATCTATCCGTGTCTATGTGGCTCCCTCTAGTGGCTCAACTGCTGAACTGCAGTAATTTGACAAATGCACTTGACTTTCATTCATCACTATCCTCATGTCTGATTCATTAATACAGTAAATATTAAATTCAATTCACTTTGAAGGAGTTCAACATTTCATATTCTGCAGTTAATGGTTCCAGAAACAGTTTGTTGTTTTTACACTGTAGCTTTTGTACGAATTAAACAAAGCAGCTATAACATGTTAATCAACGAATTTACTCCCTGTTACCAGTCCTTATGCTAAGCTAAGCTAACTGGCTGTAGCTTCATATTTGCCCAAATATACTCAAATATCTAACAATTCCTTTAACTCAAGGTCCACTTACCAGCTTTTTCTGGATCCACAGCTCACAGTCTTCATCACTGGATGGAGTTTGCTCAGTTTAGAGCTGCAAACACAAATTATTTTTCATCACCAAGCTGTTTCTTTTTCTGAAGTAAGAAGCTAAAAATAGCCAGACAGTGGACCTTGATTTTATTGTGATAACTTAAATGACTCATCACTACTCAGATTTTTACCGTTATAACAAGAAGAACATTCAAATGTAAAGATATTAAATATGGGACATGTGGGCTTCATATATAACAAACATGTATGACAGGTATCAGTCTGACATTTCCAAAAGATGCTCTGTGACGTGACGCTTTGTTTAGTAAGAGATGAACTTTCTGATTTCAAATGTCCCAGTGTCTAAAATTTTCTTCTCTTGTGAACGTTCTTTGTTTTATAAATTAACACAGTCACATTCTTGCAGCCACTTTGCTTTGAAAACACATTTAATTCAACGCTCAGTCACAGATTCCACAACAGGAGTCGGTCTGTAGGCACAGAAGTTTGAGTTTCTGATACTGGAAGAAAACTGTGTAAACTGACCCAAAAATTCAACGTTTTGGTTTCGTAATGAACTCAGTCTGGCTCAAAATGAACACTAAAGTGTTTGTTTTTTACTGGCCACATGCAGCTGGATCCGGTCTGTGTGGGAAACATGTTGCTTGAGTAAATGTTGAACAGTAAACGAATGAGTGGGGGGTGCGGGGTTTATCTCAGCATGTTCTGGAGTAAAACATGCGTCTCCAGAACCAACAACTTTAAATCTACTTTCCTTCCTGAGATTAACAAATTGAAACCCAATCATCAGAACAGAATCAAGTTGATCAATAACTGATAATGTGCTTTACTTTCATACAGCCAGCCAGATTATTAAAGTAGGAGTTAGTTTTTCTCCCAAAGTGCTGCCACATTTCTTTAAGGAGCTGAACTCTTCAGACATCACAACATATAAACTGTCACTGCTGGGTTGATGTGCCATATTTAATATCTTTAAATTTGACCATTTTAATGCTAAAAACACCCAAAAATAATCAGTGTTTATTCCAGAATTTTCTTATTTTCATGATGGAAAAGTCTCTGAATCAGCTTTTAAACCATCATGAGACATTAAAGTTCTCTCACAAACAAATCAAAGTCCTCTGTGTGGCTGTTTAACCAAATCTGATGTTCTTTCTATTGGCAATTAATCCATGAAGTAACACGTTATATACCTGTTTTTTTAATTCATACAAATATAGAAGTGTAAAAAAAGACAGTACATCATGTGATGGAGGGATTTGATCATGTAAGGAAAAACACTGAACTCTTGTTAAAGTCAAATTTAAATATATTAAATATAGGTAGCTTGAATTTAAAATCTCAGTACTGCACTTTTAAGAAGCCACATTTGACAAAACCTTAATCATAACCAATGTAAGACCGATCGATTCTGGATTCAGAATAGAATCAATCAATCTGCATCACGTCAGAAACACAGCAGCAGCTCCAGATAATCAGTCTGTGTCATTTTGTGTGATTCCCAAACTTTCCCAGGGGGCACAGAGGGTCAGGTCAGGTGGTCACCTGTCAGTCCAGATCACCTGATCGTGCGGTACATCATGAAGTCGACCGTGGTGCACCGCGGGAACTTGCCGATAGAGCTCTCCTCCACTGGCGTGTAGACTTTAATCTGCCGCATGTGAGTGTCTCTGCCGTTCTGGTGGTTGGCCAAGACGGCGATCTGGATCATGAAGGTGCTGATCGGCTCGTTTGTCCGCTGAGACACACAAAACCCAGAGTGAAGTCACTGCTGATGCTTTTATTCACACATTATCACAAGAAGAACAGGGCTGGGTATCACCAGATTTTTTTATTCTAGTAAAATTAAACAAAGACATGAGTTTCTTACCTGGTTCATCAGAGAAATGTGAATCCAGCCACTGGGCTCCACCATCTCCAGCTGCTACAGGGAGGAAGAAGAGAAATGTGAGAACAATGAAGATCATTTAACTGGGTATTTAAAGATGTAATGAACTTCAGGGCAAGAAATTAATACTCTTGTCATTACCCTGATTTCTTGCAGGTTGTGGAAGTTGTTGCCCACTCTGACAGAGATCTTACTGGGTGTGTAGCTCTCATCAGATTTATAATCAGCATAAATACACAGCATTTTCACGGTTGTCCTCCTCCTGATCAAAACAAATAAAAACAATCAGGGATGATAAACACAGACACCAACATACAGATGATTCACAAGCAGAAATACACAAAAGAAGACAGATAAAAGAAGCAAATACACATTATTACAACATTACACCTTGACAATAACATCTCTTTGATAACTCAGTCTGTTATTGTTTTTTTGTTATGTAAAGACATTTCTTAGCTAATTTCAGAAATCCTTGTACTGAGAGAACATGACCCATGTTACCTGAACTGTATGTTGACCAGGTGAGGTTGGGATCCATCTGACTGCCAGTAAGTCTCGAGGTTGTCATCCCTCAGCTGATCGACTCCAAAACCTGAACATGGGTGGACAGTGAGAGGCCAAATGACACCAGTCTAAATCGGTCACTCAGCATGAAAACAGCCGACTGTGTACTGGATTTGGGTACCGACCTGGTTTACAGGAGGAGAGGGACCACACCGCCTGAGACCCGATCTCCCGGACCGTCCCCGTCCGTTCCAGCTGCTTTGGGTCGGCACCGGGTGGTGTCTTGCTCGGGGTGGCCATCCTCTAACCACGGAGAAAGACAAAAACACAAATTCAGAAAACGCAAGTTGGTCTAAGACGCGTTTCGTACGATTTTCAGTAACGTAACGCCAAACACGCTTCAGATTTCCTACATATTGACGTTTTCTTGTACATTGAACGATGAATTTGACAATGAATTAACGGCAGAAACCGATTTAAGAGTTAATGGTAACTGACCATTCGTTAGGCGACGGTATTAGCATCTTGTTTAGCTAACAGCTGCGTTAAACGCCGTAATTTATGGTTAATACCATCATGGTTTTGCTCGATATAGTTGAGAGGGAAACTCGTGATAATATTAAACAGAATGATTAATATAATTGATTTTAAAGGTAGGCCACAATGCTTGGATAGTATTTTTCTCAAACGCATGCACCGCAAATAAAAATCACACAAACTTTTAACGGCTGGTTTGCAGCTCTAGCTAGCTGCTAAGAGCTAATATATCTCCACTGTAGACTGCCTCAAAGCCACTAAAACGTAGTTAACGATAAAAAAATGTGACTTAAACTTACAATAAAGGTTGGTAAAAGTCTCCAGGGTCTCGTGTAAATACATGGGACGTGAGTGGGTTCGACACAATTCGATTTCAAACCCGTTTTGTTTCGCTAGCCACTTCGAATCTCCCACTTTGGTGAGTCTAGGTCGCGTCTTTACGACGTCACCAGTGCCGTCGCACGATTTGTGCGTCTCTCCCGCCATCTTTACAGCCGGCTTCCAGGAGACGAACACGTTGCTGGAAAAAAGAAGTTTCACACCCGATTATTTGTCTCTAAACGTCGTTTCTCGTTTATTTTCTTCTAAGCCGGGGAACGGGAGCCGAGGAGGGTGAGTTTTTGACTTGTCGCTCCGGATATTGTCGCTTTTTTGGGGCAGGTATTGCCATAGAAACGAGCGATGTTCCGATTCACAGCAGCTGTCAAGTGCGGGGCCTCCACTGATAATGTCGGTTAACGTGAAGCTAACCTTTAGCTCACTGTTAGCAGCCTCTGAAGCTCGTACTTAACGGTGCATTCAAGGTCCAGTGAAGATTTGAAAACGACTGATAAACCCATCTGAGTACATAAATAAAGTTGGTTGATCGTTTGACAGCGTAGTTTTGTTTTTTTTTTAAACACAGCAGGTGTTACAGGCAGAAGGGCCCCGAGAAGACTGCGTTTTCTTTGAATGGTGCTCCAAATTTCCCTCAGTTATTTGCGAAATTGACGTTTTCTTTCGCCGTGACAAAGCTGAAAACATTAAAGTACACAAATATAGGTTTTTGTCGATCGCTAGGCTCTTTAAATGAATTAGACATATGAATGACTCACACATCAGCGGGTTACTTGGGGACAAATCCAACTTTTGGTGCTTTTCGCCACGTTTCGTTAATTTGATGTTGAGAGAATTACAGACAAACCGAAGTTACAATCTCCATTTTTATTCACGTATGTTTCTCTTTAATGTTTTGAATGGGAGGCCGCATTGAACAGCAGGAAAGCACTGAATACTTAAAGGCCTTAAATTACGTAGCACCAGGCATGTACGTTCAGATGTGAGGTAACGGTAGAAGGACAGCCCGGTGTGACTCATGCTCCCCGCTGAAGACTGCGAAGCGGCAACTGGACTGGTTTTCTAGCTGCTACATTTGCTGTAATTCATCTCATTGAGGCCTGAAATAAAACCTCATTAAAACCAGGATCTGCTGTAAAGCCAGGAAGCATTATATTTAGTTACATCAGAAGCAGGTAGGGGGGTTTCAGGCTGTGGTAGTGGATCTGTGGCAGCCCATTGTTAAGAGTTAAAGGCTGTGCTTGTTTGTTCAGAATTGAATGTGTTGCTTCAGCAGAGTTAATATTGTGTTTGTGGACATAGGTTCGAGCCTGACCAATGTCCCCTACATTTAGACATTGTCTGCTGTATTTGGGACCTAAATATCACCATTAGCTGTGCATACGGATAAATGTACAACTCCATATCTCTGATTCTGTCCCTCCTTTTTCTTCCTCACCTTTTCTCAAGAGTTAACGCCACCTCCCCCAAAAGTAAATCTTCATTTGTCCACGTCTCTCAGCTCCGCAGGTGCTAGCGTCCGTCATTCCAGCCCTCCATCATGGCGGATAAAAACACCAGGATCGCCATCGTCAACCATGACAAATGCAAACCTAAGAAATGCCGTCAGGAGTGCAAGAAGAGCTGCCCTGTGGTCCGTATGGGTGAGTGATCGTTTAGTCGGTGCTCATGTCCACAAACAAGCTCAACAATTCAAAAGCAGAATGAGCTTCAACACGGAAAACATAAACAATGGTCGCTAAATAAGAATCTGTGTTCAATTGTGTTTGCAGGTAAGCTGTGTATCGAGGTGACTCCACAGAGTAAGATTGCGTGGATCTCAGAGTCTCTGTGTATAGGCTGTGGTATCTGCATCAAGGTAAGAACACCTGCAGGGCGACCTCTGAATATCAAGTGAACCGGTCTGAAAATATCTGCTCCTCTCTTATGTTTCTCTTTAGGAAAGTATAAGTCATTTGTGTTATTACACTTTCAGCTTGTTTAACAGTCACGAATCCTAGAAAATCATCATGTAGAACAGGATTGGTCCCTGAAAAATAAGGAATCTGACCAGGATGTCTGTCCAGATGCAGTTAGTGCTAACTTCTGAGGGGCCGGTCTCAGTCTGGTTGTTCTGACGGGGTTTTGTTGTTGTTGTAGAAATGTCCTTTCGGAGCGTTGTCGATCGTCAACCTGCCCAGCAACCTGGAGAAGGAAACCACACACAGATACTGCGCCAACTCCTTCAAACTGCACCGGTACGCTGGCGTTGACTCCGCCTGGATATGCAACTGATTTAGTGATTTGTTATATTATTCTGAGAGCACACGTTATTAAAGTTAGGTTTAACATGAGATGTGATAGTTCAGTAGTAAGTTGTTGAAATCTGAGTCTGTGAGTTATTGATGCTGTTAATCAGCTGGTTGTAATGTGTGTGTGTGTGTGTGTGTGTGTGTGTGTGTGTGTGTAGGCTGCCCATACCGAGGCCCGGTGAGGTGCTGGGGCTGGTGGGGACCAACGGTATCGGGAAGTCCACGGCGCTGAAGATCCTGGCTGGAAAACAGAAACCCAACCTGGGGAAGTACGATGTGAGTGTTCACACATCACACACTCACACACACACACAGTCATGTTACTGTCAGGTGCTGTGGATTTACTCGTGCAGGCCTGTGTTATAGGTTGAATGTGGTTGTTGCTGCGCTGAGGAGATAAATGTGGGTGTAGCTGCTCAGACCAAACATCAGATACAGGCTCAGGCGTCTCTTTTTTCCCCTCAGAAAAACTCCAGGTTTATATCAACAATAAACACTTGGTGCCAAATGTGTTTTTGTTTTTTTATTTGAGTAAATATAAACCTCCACTTCCTGGTGTGGTAACTTCAAAATAAAACAGCCTTACACGATAATTACAGTTAGAAACCTAATTACTACGAAGGTTTTGTTGCTGATCATGTTTGTGTTTGACAGAAATAAAAGGCATCAGTCCTGCACTGCTGTAAATGCTGCTTGATATGTTTGATGTTTTATATGTTATATATGAATGTGTGTTTTTCTGTCCCAGAATCCTCCAGACTGGCAGGAGATTTTGACCTACTTCCGAGGATCTGAGCTGCAGAACTACTTCACCAAAATCCTGGAGGACGACCTGCGGGCCATCGTCAAGCCGCAGTACGTCGACCAGATCCCGAAGACCGTGAAGGTAAACGAGTTTGAGCAGGAAGGAGTTTAATCAGTGGTGCTGCGGCAGTGAAGGAGGGTTGGTTGTAACTCTTCACCTCTGCCTCCAGGGGTCAGTAGGGGCCATCCTGAGCAGGAAAGATGACACAGACACACAGGACATCGTCTGTGACCAGCTAGGTAAAACTCACACGCATTAAAACATCAAATAACAATTAATGTGGATATTTAATTAATCATTTCAGTGATTTATCAAATAAAAATGGTTGAAAAATTCACTGAAAAACAACCCAAACGTTTGTCAAAACACAAGCAGCTGTGTCTGGAATTTGCTAATTTATCATTTAAATGGAGGTTTGTTCCAAACTGACTTCATCATAAATGTGATTGGTTCTTTTTTGCGTTGTTGCCGGGCAGATCTGAGTCACCTGCGGGAGAGGAACGTGGAGGATTTGTCCGGAGGAGAGCTGCAGAGGTTCGCCTGCGCCGTCGTCTGCATCCAGAGGGCCGACATGTGAGGAAACGACCGACGCAGCTCCATCATCATTGTTTCCACTTTGACCTGAAAACAGACTGACGCTGTTTCTGCTGTTTCTCTGCTGCAGTTTTATGTTTGACGAACCGTCCAGTTACCTGGATGTTAAACAGAGGCTGAAGGCTGCCATCACCATCCGCTCGCTCATCACCCCGGACAGGTACACACTCTTCATCTGAAGGGAGAATCTGACATTTATATCTTCAAGATTATTCTTTAACTCTGTGTGTGTGTGTGTGTGTGTGTGTGTGTGGGTGTGTGTGTGTGTGTGTGTGTGTGGGTGTGTGTGTGTGTGTGTGTGTGTGGGTGTGTGTGTGTGTGTGTGTGTGTGTGTGTTGCAGGTATATCATTGTGGTGGAGCACGACCTGAGTGTGCTGGACTACCTGTCTGACTTCATCTGCTGTCTGTACGGAGTCCCCAGCGCCTATGGGGTGGTCACCATGCCCTTCAGCGTCCGAGAGGGTAAAACACACACACACACACACACAACAACAAGCAACAAATATGAGACACAAAGTTCAAGAGTTCACAGCCAGTAAAAGAAAAGAAGCAGCAGAGAAAATGAGGAGGTACATTTCTTGTTAAAGACTCTTCTCTGTGACTCGTGGTTCTTGCGGTTCAGAGGAGGATTATCAGCGTTAGTGAATCTTACTGTGTCAACGTTCACTTTCATTTTTGTAATCAAATATGAAAAGTCTTTGATTATTTACTCAATGGATTCATAACTCTGTCTATAAAATATCTTTATCTTCGTCCTCCAGGTATCAACATCTTCCTGGACGGTTACGTTCCCACGGAGAATCTCAGGTTTCGCGAGACCTCATTGGTCTTCAAAGTGGCTGAGACGGCCAACGAGGAGGAGGTGAAGAGACTCAGGCACTACCAGGTCGGTTCTGGTTTCCTCATTTTAAAACTATCACTTTATTTTCTGCTCTCCCTCTTCTTTCACTCCTACCTTGTTTCCTTTCTCCTTACTTCACTTCCTAATTCCTTCCTTCCTTTATTACCTCCCTCCTCCTCGTCGTCTTCTCCCGGGTCTTTGTTTCTCTTCTCTCGGAGCGACTGACCCGGCAGCTGGAACAGATGTCTGACCTGTTGTTGTTGTTGTTGTTGTTGTTCAGTATCCAGAGATGGGGAAGACGATGGGCGAGTTCACGCTGGAGATCAGAGGAGGAGAATTTACCGACTCTGAGATCATGGTGATGCTGGGAGAGAACGGTACGCTGAGTTCGTGTCTGGACGTTTCCACACTCGGAGTTTTAACGTCCGTGTTTGACATCAGCCTCTGAATGTTTGGGTCCGCAGGCACAGGGAAGACCACCTTCATCAGGATGCTGGCTGGAGGACTCAAACCTGACGGGGGAGGGGAGGTTCCCATCCTGAACGTCAGCTACAAGCCTCAAACCATCAGCCCCAAGTTTAAGGTTCGTCCAGTTTCTTCATCAGCACTAGTTATTAAAACACGCCGTGGAATTAAAGGATGATTCTGCTGTTTACAGTTTAAAAACTTTGTGTGAATCTTGTTCTATAAAATGATGCAGCTCCATTAAATCCAAGCTGATGCTTTAGTTTCACCTGGTTGCAGAGATTCAGCCTCTGTCTCTGTGAACAGAACAATAAAGTTGAGACGCGTTGAATGTGAAGAGTGTGTGTGTGTGTGTGTGTCTGCAGGGCAGCGTCAGAGCGCTGCTGCACGAGAAGATCAGAGACGCCTACACTCACCCTCAGTTCATCACCGACGTCATGAAGCCGCTGCAGATCGAGAGCATCATCGACCAGGATGTAAGAGACGCACGCCATCATTGTTTTAACGAATACTGTTGCCCTCATTAAGAGTGTCGGTCAGTACGACTCTGGTTACCTAGCAACTGTGTTCGTTCATGAGTCCATTTGGAGGGGGCAGAGAGAACCAGGCTTTTATTTTGAAAGTCTCATATTTTTACTCCTTTCTTTACAAAGTCAAAACGTCCTCCATGAGTCATGTGACATCGCTCTGCTGCTCTCAGTGAGTGTAACTCCCCCTCCTCCCCCTCCTCCCCCCTCAGGTGCAGAACCTGTCTGGTGGCGAGCTGCAGAGAGTCGCCCTCACTCTGTGTTTGGGGAAACCAGCTGATGTTTATCTGATCGACGAGCCCTCGGCTTACCTGGACTCCGAGCAGAGGTTGATGGCCGCCAGGGTCATCAAGAGGTCAGACGCGGCTCCTCTTCGCCACTCAGTTCCCTCCCTCACTTTCCTTCACACCCTCACTGTCTGACTCGTGTCCGTCCGCAGGTACATCCTCCACGCCAAGAAGACGGCGTTCGTGGTGGAGCACGACTTCATCATGGCGACCTACCTGGCCGACAGAGTCATCGTGTTCGACGGTATTCCCTCCAAGAAGACTGCAGCTAACACGTAAGACAGAGAGAGACTTTTATTTTGTTAAATACTCACAACATGAACCAAACACTTCCTGAAGAGAAACTGAATTTCTTCTTCTTCTTCTTCAGGCCTCAGAGTCTGTTGGCGGGAATGAACCGCTTCCTGTCGCTGCTGGAAATCACATTCAGGAGAGACCCGAACAACTTCAGGCCACGTATCAACAAGCTCAACTCCATCAAGGTATTCACACCTGTGAATTATAACATCATATATAATGTATATGAGACAGATTTTAAAGATACAAGCATCACTTCAGTTGAGGGATTAAAGGTCTGTATTAACTACAAATCACATACTTAACATCAAAACTACCGTCCTGTGTTGTAGAAATCTGATGCTAATAATATAATAATAATAATAATGTTAATTTTTTCCAGATACTGAAACTTTACATGAAAAACAAAACAGAATAGAGCAGGACATAAATTCAAACATTAAAATCATGAACATTTATTTGTTCAGTGTTTTTCTGTCGGCTGCTGTGAAATATGAAAATATATTAACAGACGCTTGAAACTTGCATCATTACGAGTTTAATCAATCGCATCAATCTGCAGCTCCAGCCGGTTTAGGTTGATGTGTCCAGCTCGTGCTGCAGCTCTGACCATCAGTTGAAATGGTTTAGTGTGTGAACCTTCGCTGACCTCTGCTGGTGACGTGTGGGAACTACAACAACACAGTAATCAGGATTTAAAGGGTTTAAAATTAGAAGAAAAACAAAACGTCACAAACAGCAACAAAATAGAACAATACAGCAGGTAAAGCAGCAATAAATAGATAAAATGGTGATTATCAGACACCGAACACAGCCACAGGAGATCAGAGTACACTGTTGATCAAGCACGAGCAGCAGAGTAGATGATGTGTTTCTGTACACACTGACCTTTGACCTTTGTTTCCTCCAGGACACCGAACAGAAGAAGAGTGGAAACTATTTCTTCCTGGACGACTGAGCCGACGTCCAAACAGCAGTTATGTTAAAAATCATAAGAAGCAGAGAGAGAGAGAAAAAACCCCATCAGCCTTTATGTACCGGGCTGCGTTCAATAGCCAGCAATGTTGTGAAACGTTGAAAATAAAAAGTGCATTGCATTCTGTGTCCGTCAGCCTGAACATACTGGGCTGAATTCACAAGCCAGCGACATTGTGGAACATTAAGCAGCGTATTTTAACACTCATGCATTTACAGCAACTGATAATAAACTGATTATATCTGATCCCAGAACTGTTCGTCTCTTCATTCGTCATGTCTTAACAGTGTGTGGTGTGTTCAGGAACACTTAGAAATACTGTGTAGAAGCCTGAAGTAATATTAAAACGTCTCTAAATTAATTTACAAAACTCTTGTAAGTTATGCATTTTTACTATTGTTATTAAACCCAGTAGCTATAAAGCTCATTGATAATGGGCAGGTGTCAGTTTCATCAGAAGGTGGATTAATCAAAGACAGTAATTCAGTGTCAGTCCCTGTACATGAGAAACCCTGTTAACACAGAACGTCAGATTTATCTGCAGCTCTTAACGTCCTTGAAAGAGCTGAATTCATTTCTCAGAAAAAGGTTTTAAGAAGTCTGAAATTAAAGTTGGTAGATCTGCAGAAACCCTGTCATGGTTTCCTCTCCTATCCATGACACGTGCATGTTGTAAGAGGTGTGTGTGTGTGTGTGTGTGTGTGTGTGTGTGTGTGTGTGTGTGTGTGTAGCTCATGGAGCTGAAATAACAGGAGCTGTCCTTGGTGCTTAAGTGATGAATCCTGCAACCTCTCGACGTTTCTTCACTCGAGTCCTCTGTGTGTCGGCACCAAATATCATCTTCTAAAATCAGTGGTGGAATGTGAATAATAACATTTACTAAAGTAATATTTATTGTTTAAAAAATAAACATGAGGACAACAAAAACATTAGTTTTATGAGAATGTGGGTAATAATGGGCTCTGACAGGGAGGGAGGAGGTTTCTCTTTCTCTAGAGCTTCATAGTATTTATACTTTTTGCTCGGGTTTGTTATTATTTGTCTTAGCTACAATTAGCTTAGCTGTAATTAAGGATTTAAGATTACATGTTGGAAAGGCCACGCCCCTCACACCGCTGGTCAATGTGCTTTTTACTCATTTGCAGGCTTGAGTGACGAAAATATAAATTTTGGCAGTGGATGTTTCACTCCGTTGACCACAACCAAACCGCAGTCAACCAAAAACTTCCATGTGTAGAAAACAGCAGGGACGTGAGGAGGAAAGTCTCAAGCACAAAACTTTATTTAAAATATTGTGACTGAAAGAAATGATTTTATATTATAAATGTGTTGATGCCACTAAACTCTGTTCAGCTCAGAAGTGATGCTCAGTGGTGACCGTCACAATGTCATCACGGTCTTCAGCCAATCTCTGCTCAGCCTGGGTGGGTGGTGCTGTTGCCATGGAGACACGTGGGTGTTGTCCTATCAGAAGAATGAATCATCAGATTTAGATACAGTATTATCAGGCAAAGACAATCAACACTACAGAACCGTAACTGGTGATTGATTGATTGATACCTGTGGGTCTCTGTCGATATAAAGACACCATAATGACAGTGGAGATGAAGTATGGACAGAACATCACCAGGTGGTAGAGCAGTCTGAATACAACCTGGAGGGGGACTGAGGAAGGGGGCGGGGCTGAGGCAGAGGACAGGGCTGGGGTGGGAGGAGCCAGTGCAGAGGTGGGAGGAGTCAGTGGAGTAGCTGAGGTTACAGGTTTTCCTGTAGAGAGAATCTCACCTGGTCAGGTGAATTTGTGAATAAATAAGTGGGGAAACCAAAGTGAAGCTCCTGACCTGTGACAGTGATCCAGCTGGGTGGAGACTCTCCATGACCTGTGATGTTACAGCTGTAGAGGCCTTCATCAGACTTGTCAACATGGTGGATGGTCATGTGACCTGTAGTCTCTTTGATGAGGGAGCCATCTTTATAGAAAGCAGCTGGGAGGTTGGAGGGAGGGGTCTTTGTTTTACAGTGCAGAGTGACATCATGTCCCTCCATCACAGGGAGGACAGGACTCTGCAGGATCACTGCTCCACCTCAACACACAGACAAACTACAGCATTTCATCCATTTACACACAGCTTCATCAACACTGACTCCACAGTCTGATCTTACCAGTGACAGTGATGCTGATGCTGTTACTGGTTGCTCCCTCTCTGGACTCACACCAGTAAACTCCACTGTCCCATGTGGCGATCAGACTGATTTTACAAGAGGAACCAGTTGATCTTCCCCAGTCGAGTCCACACTGAGTCCTCTGTCGTTTGGTCGTGTTCCTCGTCAGCCTCCATCCAGCAGAGCCGTCGTCCTCGCCACAGCTCAGAGAGACGGAGTCGCCTTTAAAGAACTGAGAGCTGCTGGGACTCGCAGTCAGAGAGGCTGCCAGGATGTAATTTATTTGTACAGCAGGTTATCATCAACGTGCTTAACAGGAATCAAAGAAGCATAAAAAGTAAAAAGCACCACAAGAAAACAGAATAAACACAGATTATTAAAGAGGCAAGATTAAAATCCAGATGATTTAGTTATGGTTTGTGCAGATTTGGTCTCATGCTGCAGCATCATGGCTGAACATTTCTGAAATATATTTAGGGCCCAGACCATTCAGTCGATCAAGAGATCAATACACTCAAATCTCAGCTGCCAACAGAACTTCTCTTCTTAGTAAATTGCATGGATCAAATGAGAGCTGGATTTCATCGTCTCAGAACTTGTTCTCATCGTGTGGTAGAAGTTGTTTCCTCACCTTGTTGTGCCGTGCAGCTCAGCAGCGAGCTCAGAGCTGCAGAGAGACGACAGAGAAAAGCTGTTAGTGTGATGGAGGTCTGGGTGCTGCTTCCTGAAGCAGAGTGAGAACCGTTCTCTCTCTCATCTTCCTTCACTCGTGTAAAACTAACGGTGCTGTAGGTGTGTGGGGAATGTTCCTGTAATTACATTTCTTTTCTTCCTACTATGTTTATTGTTACGCACCAAAACACCGAGGCAACTTCCTTGTATGATGTAAAAACCTACTTGGCAATAAAACCAGATTCTGACTCTGACTCTGACCCACAGACACGACGCTGATGTAAAAACCAAACTGCAAATAAGTTGAATTCGTTGTCGGTGAATAAAAAGCCCAGACACGGAGACAAAGAGTCGACTTACAGAGCAGAAGAGATGCTTCGTACATCATGACACGTCAGTGATAGGAAATCTGCGCTTTGACCAGCTGAAGTGAAAGCCTCATCCTTCCTCTGAGACTGAGACTGGCAGCAGCTTCCTCTACACAGACAGTAAAAATGAGTCATAGATAAAACTATAAAAGATCAGGAGGAAAAGCAACCAGAATGTAAATGTAAAGAACATTAATATGTGTGTGTTGTGTTGTGTTGTGTGTGAGGGAACAACTTGAAACTGCTTTTTTGATTTTGTTCAGAAAGATTCTGGGCTTTTATTTTTGTGTTAAATTATTCAGAGAGAGTTTATTTAATGATGTGAGTGATTGATGGTAGTGATTTTATAAATAAGGTTAAGGACATTGTTAGAAAGAAGCTGTACCTTTCTGTAGAGAACAGTGGTTTCGTTGAGAGGAAATGAGATGTAAGATGGAGGTTGCTTTGTACCTGCATATCTGCTTTAACCACTGAAATGTGGTCAGGAAGAGACAAACAAACACTAGTTGCTGTGTAGCATCAGTCAACAGGGCAGCGCGGTGAGGCAGCGCGGGTGAGGCAGCGCGGTGAGCGAGCGCGGTGAGGCAGCGCGTGAGGCAGCGGCGTGAGGCAGCGCGGTGAGGCGAGCGCGGTGAGCAGGCGCGCGCGGTGAGGCGGTGAGCGAGCGCGGTGAGGCAGCGGCGGTGAAGGCAGCGCGGTGAGGCAGCGCGGTGAGGCAGCGCGGTGAGGCAGCGTGAGCTCGTTAACAGCATGTGGACGGTTCAGAGAGAGTCCAGCTGAGAGTCAGGAGAAACAATTCTGGAGCATGACATAAACTTGGAGTTTGTATCTTTGACATAACATGGATTAGTAGACCTACAGTTCACTATAGGGATATTTCCTGTATACCAAAACCACCAAGACAGGATTGCTGGTCTCCATTAATTAATTAATCCATTAATTAACTTTTGACAAGGCACACCTATTAATTGAGCAAAGCTGCATAATATTGGTAAAGGTAGGCTGAATGGTGGCTACTTTAAAGAATAAAAAATATGGAACATATTAAGCATATATATATATGTATATATATACATAAACGCTCCAGAACACCAGGCTCCTCTGGGATCATTCAGTCTTTTGGAGGTTCCCGCCACGTGACGCTACGTTAGTAGGCACGTATACGTAGGGGACACGGAAGTAAACAAAACTGATCACGCGTTGTTGAATGAATTGAATCAGCCGTCTCCTCATCTCATCACCTCATCAACGAAGGTTACCAAACATCACACATGTGGCGCCTATTAAAAGGGTATTTTTGATTAACCTTACCGACTGTCCTAATATATAAAATAATAC